TTGTTCTTGGTAGAAACAGAAGTTCATTAGATCACATTGCAAGTATGCAGAAGTCTACAGGGGCTTGATCAGGATAGTCTGAAACCACAATTTCTGCTTTTGTAATTCTTCATTGATCACAGTTACCGTTTTTAATGCTATGGTCACCGTTTTAACACTGTGTTATGCTATGTTATTTCAGTAGGTATAATTGCTATAAATAGTTTTAATAATACCATCCGTTTCCTTTCCTGAGTGCATTTTCCTTGCTTTCAGCTGAATGACCATATTCATTTTCACCTCCCACATTCCAAGGAAGAGTTGCCGAGGCCTTTCTCTGAATGATGACCCTTTTTGGAAAGCAGTTGTAGCCAAGGACGCTGAAGAGCCCTTTGCATTGCAAGGGAATGCGAGCCGATCAGCTGGGCAGCTGGCTGGCCGCCAGGAGCTCTGCTCCCTAAGGCACAGGCTTAGTCATGTAAAGCCCTGCTCATTTTCCATCCCTAAGCCTAGAGGCTGTGTTGGTTGTAGCTGAGGCTCAAAGGATATGGTGGTGTTTGGCTCAGGCACGAGGGTCACCCACGCTGCCTAAGGGCTGGCTGAAGTCAAAGGGGCCCCTCAGGCACGGCTTCCCTGTGGAAACCCTTGTGGGGTGTAGCTAGCAGAGGCAGGACAGTCGCAATGAAAGCCTCACCATATCTACTGTTATTTTGAGCAGGACAGCTTGGTGGCCCAGTGGTCCACAGCCTGTTCCAAGCCTGTGCTGGTATATGTCTAGTTTTGATAAGCAATCATATAAACAGAGTGGAGGAGAGCCCTTTCAAACCAGAGGGAGCTGAGGATGGCACCTCCCAAGCTTTGATCCTTACCTAAGCTTAATTTCTCTCCTTCCATCTTTTATTTGGGGATAATAATACTGATACTTAACCATTTTGTAAAGCTGATGTATCAGCTGATGTTTTTAAGTAGCACTGTTTGGTAAAAACTAAAGGGTAGGTAGATAGAAGCATACATTCAAGAGTTAGAGCTTCTGGCCACAGCCATCAAGAGTGACTAATGCATTCATCTCATGTCCCCAAGGACCCCGCTCCAAACACATAACGATGGCTCCAAATTTTAAAGTATTAACTCATTGCATATAAGTAAAATACATGGGAGTGTGATTTACCTGAACGAGAAATAATGTTTCCAAGCCCTTGTGGGATACTAAAGCTGCATGGAGGTGACATTAGCAAGTGGTTTTGGTTGGGGGTTAAGGAGAGGACAGAGGATCTGTGAGAGATAGTGAGATAACAGAAGGGAGAAGGTTGTTATGTGTTAATGGGAACAGTGGTCCAGATAATGATCTGCCTGTCTAATCATCAGTCTCATTTCCCCCCCCTTGTCTGGCTCCAAAATCCTAAAAGCAAGTATAGGTCACCTTGTTTAGCAGCTAGAGAGCAGAGAAATTGTGGTAGGTGGACTTGTGATGGGAAGCGACCCAAGGGGACAGCAAACTGAACAGCAAGGCCACACAGGGCTGGAGACTGGTGGGGTGCTGGTTGTGCAGAGAGGTTTTTACACACACACACACACGCGCGCGCACACACACACACACCCCCACACACATACCCATGGCACTTTGTCGTGCCGTCAGCAAGCCAAATAAAAGACATACATGACTATTGCTACTAATAGGAGGGCAGCTGTCCATTAGCGAATGAACTGTAATGTCCCTATAAAGCCACAGAATATGGTTATAATTGTCTAATAGAAGGATAATGAGGCTTTTAAAAGAAAAACAGCTGGGTTTTTTGAGCCAGCTGGTTTTAAGCAGGCAACTTGTTTCTTTAACCTTGACCCACAGGTATTTGCCAGTGTTGTGCCTGGGGCTGGTGGTCTAAGAAGCATGGCCAATGCACTACGAGACTGTCGTGGTTTGCAAGCCCCAGACTCACTGAGGAAGCCTTCAGGAAGGGGTTGGGTCTGGCAGTGGGATGGCTGCGTTGCACCCAGGGCCACCCGTTGTGTTCTTCGTTGGAGCTGGGGTCCTGTGTGATAGCTTGGGGCTCAGGGAAGGGGCTCTGAGGTGCTCGTCTAAAACCGAGCAAGGAGAAGGACTGACAGTGCCTTTGAAATCAAAAAGAAAACTAATTTTTACACACTGTTGCAGTTTTAATCAACCCTCCTTGTCTACTGGCTGCTCCTTTGCAACTAACTTCAACCTTCTCATGATTAGATATCTATATAGATTGTCTCTGGAGACACTGAAAAGAGAGAGGTAGCTCCAGATTCATGCCATTTCTATTAAATGCTTGACTTAGGGGGGATTATCCACTGGAGGCACTTTAGGAGATGAGTATTAGACACAATTGCTATCTAACAACATGCTTATGGTTGCACTGGGTTCAGATAACACTCAGTTTCTCAGGGATTTCAAATATTTCCATTGCTCTTAAACCTAATTAAGCAAATCAAGGTTCTGAAGGAAGTTGAGAGCGAGGAGACTTTCTCTGACTTTTGATTTTGCACACCTCTTTCTATACCTGAGGTGCCCAAAACTTACATATTCAGTACTTCCATGTACGACAATGAGGTGAGGAAATGCAGCAGCCCATCTCTGGCTCAGACACTCCTGTATAAAGAAATTAATGTCCTTGTATAAAGCTCTGTCTTCCAGTGCTCTGGAGCCTGTCCCACGATCCCTAGATTTATAAAAAATATTGTATGCAGAGCTGCCTCTCCCTGCAGGAACTTTAACTGGCTTTGTGGGGTGCTCAGACACTGCTGCGGATCTGCACCGGTGGCCCAGCACCCAGCTGCAAACGCTCCTGAACAGGGAAAGATGATGGTACTTGGCGTGCACGGTGCACGGCGTGCTCGGAGCCCGCAGGCAGGCACTGCCTCTGCCATCACTGCTGTTTCGCATGAGCCCAAGGACTGTTTTGTCCCACATTTGGCATAAATCTCCCTCTAACTGTGATAGCATCTTTGGGTAATTGTCATAAATAAACAGAAGGACTCGTCTTCCCCTCCGTCCCTCCCATTTTTTTAAGCAGTGCGGATATTTAGTAACCAAAAGCATGATTGCACCATGATGGCAGACCTTTTGCCTAGAATGTCATCTTTGCATTTGCAGTATGACCTACGTGAGCGCCATGCTGCCATCACTCTGAAGTAGAGTTGAAAAGCTCGCTGGGCAGCAGGCGTGGAGTCCTGGGGCTGCAGGGCCCCGGCGGTGAGCTGGGCAGTGAGGGATCATCAGCATCGTTTGTGGGTTTTTCCTGCCGACCACGCTACGGCACTGTTCCTCTGATAATATGTCTGCTCTTGGAAGTGTTATCAAAATGGAGACGAAAGGAGGATCCCTTCAAAACTTTGTATCTAGACATAAAGCCAGAAAACAAAGGAAGTTTGGGAAAAAAAGAAGGGTGCTGCACAAAAGAAGGGTGTTACGGTAGTGACAGTCTAATAGTTGATACAAATATATATTTTAGAGGCAGGGTGTATTTAATGCGACTGTTTGTGCCTCAGACTCGGTGTTTGTCGGCACTTTGACACCAAGATGGGAAACTGAGGCTAGAACAGCAGAAAAATTGCCAGAAACAAGGCAGGAAAGGAGCTTTAGCAGGAAAACGCACAGGAAAAAGCCGGATCTTAGATCTTGAGGAAGAAAAACTGCAAAATTTGTCTAATTAAGGAATGTAGAACTAGACCGGGTGAGCTAAGGACGTTGATTTGCACATCAGGAGAAAGGAGAAGAGGCCTCACAAAAATAAAATCAGAGATGCAGGATGAAAACCAGGACAGAAGCATGGGGAATGGGATTGGAAGGGCTCAGAGCGGGAGGCATAGTGGTACAGTCATATGCTGTGGACAGGTCAAGGATGGTAAGAGCAGTATAGGTCCTAACGTTCAAGTGAAAATTTGTATTACTTGTTGAGAGCCATTGCAATGGGGTGATGGAGACTTGAAACTAGACAGGTTAGACAAGCGTAGAGCTGAAAGTCAGAATTCATAGCACCTTTATGCATCCTGGAAAAAAATACAGCTCAAAATACAATTGCCTAAGAAATTACTGTGAAACTGCTGCAGCTACAGTTAGCAGAACCCGAGTCCCTCTTTTTAAGAAGGTGGGTGGATGGATGGTTGGATGGATGGATGGACGGACAGAGCGGGTTTGGCTTTGGAACTCACCCCTTTTGCTTCCTGCCGTGCTCATATTGGTCATGATGAAAAAATTGGCTTTGTCTTCAGCTGAAACCTTCATACACATTAATGTTCTTTAAGTAATGGATCGTGCAGATCCTAATATGGGCACTAAAAACAAAGGCTATACAAATAAATACTGGGAAAGGGCCCACAGCTTCCTGAAGACTGATAGCCAGATTTCTTTCTGCATGCCTTTTGCATCCTGTTGATGATATGACACTTTTTCCCTAGTAATGTCCAAGACACGTACTGCATTAATCAGATAATTTAACTTTCCATGATCTAGCCCTAAGAAATGTAATTTAACTTTTTTCCCCTCCCTCTTTGACTCCCTTTGACAACTGACTTTTTCCTAATGGTTTCTCCAACCCAAGAAATCTGGCAAAAGTTATTATATTGTTCTCAGAGCAATGTTTGTGGTGTGATTAATGCGTGATTAGCTACCTGAAGCTTTATAATGGCCTTGCTCTTTCAAAGGCTTATCCGTGATCCATACTGCATTTGAATGGAGTCTTGTGAAAGCCAGCGGGAGTATGGACGCCAATACAGTTAAATCCACATATATTTTAAGGATTTGGGTACCCAAGGATGGTACCCAAAACCAGCCTTATGCACAAATGACCACACATTCCTTCAGCTTTGCAATGACTGCATGGAAATCAATAGGCGGATTGGATGTGTGGCGCTAATATGAAAAAGAAAGGAATATATTCTTGAATAATGCAAAAATGCGTTATTAATTCTCCCCCTGCCTCATGTGGTATGTTCCCCATACTGTAGCACTGGTCTCATTAGATACAACTGAAGACAGCTTGTCTCTCTTGTTGTAGTTGCAGGTGGACCTTGATCAGGAATATCAAGACAAATTCAAAAGACTGCCTTTGGAAATTCTGGAGTTCGTACAGGAAGCCATGAAAGGGAAAATCAGTGAAGATGGAGACCACAGTTCAGCCCCCTCTTCCCTGGCATCTGACAGTGGAAAATCAAATCATAAACCTCTGCAAAGTGAAGAGGAATTGGAAGAAGATAATCCAGAAAAAGTATTTGATACTACTTTTTAGCTGCCCAAGAAACAATCAGTGCGCCAGGGCGCACCACTCCCCAGCTGCCCGTCTCCGCTTTCCCGATGTGAGCTGCCGCTGAAGCGCTTCGGGAGGCAGGAGGAATCTGCATTCAAGTGCACATTTCCCAAAAGGAACATTTTCTAAAAAGTATTGTGCAAAGGTCTTCATTCTCATTCTTCATCTTATTATTATTCTAAAGCTTAGTGCAGTTGCAATGGGAAAATTAATATGTTAACCATCCTCTCCTCTTTTTTTTTTTTTCTTTTTTTTTTTTTTTGGCCAATTTAAAATGGGTAATTTTCTGGCCATGTTCACTGTTAAGAATGTTTAATGAAGACCAGTGTATTGTACAGAGACAAACGTGTGCAGATTTCCTTTTGAAATGCCCGTGCAAGGTGCTCCAAACTAATACAGATCTTAGAGAATATTATAACAGTACTTAATCATATTTGTTTCCTTCTTTATAACTGCACCTTGACAGCTGTACCATCATTTTACATTTGCACTGAAACATTTAATCCTTTTTAGCTTTGCAAGCACTGGTGGCTTGCTGTCTTGATATTATGTTTATCACATGGAAAGAAATATATTTGCTGCTGAAAATTCTTGGAACTGTGGGGACAAGAGGAAAACACAGAGAAGAACTCTGCCTGGAGATTGTCGGTGTCTGTGTACGTCCGTGTTTGTTACGCTGTGTGAGTGCATATATGTTTGTATATATATATAGCTATATGTGCACACACATCCGTCTATATACACACACGGCATGTTTCTATTTGAAGTCGGTGTGGTCTCTTGGCAAAAGGAAGAGTTTCAGGGATACGTGAATAGAGAATCTTTATGAAAGCTAACATCTGGGTTATACTGCTATAAAATAGTCATTGAATCATAAAATTCTTTTTGTGGTGTTAGTGTTGTAAATCAAAGTAGTTTTAGAATATAAATTTGATATATATTTTGCAGACTCAAACGTATTGATTTTAAGTATCATATTTTAAGCTTACTGAATTTGATAGGATTATAACATGTTTAGGACTACAGTATTTGAAATTTAACAGAATCTTCCATTATTTTTAAGACTGAGGTTCAGTTTTACTAAGGTCTAAAATTTAAAAGCAAAGTATAAAAACCTGATCACTGTTATTTAAAAATGTATATTAATCTGTTTAACTGACTTCTTAAAGTAAGAACAATCAAAGTTCATGTACTGTATGATACGCATGAGAGAAGTAACAGCACATTTTCAGAAATGTATATCAGATGACAGAGAGACTTTGTGAAAGTCAGGGTATTTGAAAAGGTAAAGAAATGCTATTCTCTGGATTCCCGTACTAACAGAAATAGGAACTATGAAACATTACAGACGGATTCTTATTTGTACCCGAGCCGATGCATAATGCTAAAGGCCTTTCCCTCAGCCGCGCGGTGAGGAGGCGTCTTGGGGCAAAGGATAAACTGGCTCAAAAGACGTAGATTTGCATCGAGAGGCTTGATCCTGCAAACGCGCATAAATGACTTTTCCTGCGCACCGCTGGGCTCCGTGCAGCTGTTCTGGGGAATAATGTTCACACACATGTTTGCAAGATCGGGGCCTTACTTTGTATTAAGAAGCAATCAGAGAAAGAAGTCGATCACGTAAGGAGGCATTTTAATACATTGTAACAGTTAAGTTACTTTACTTCCATTCCCTCAGGATTTTAGTACTTTAAAGTAACTTATTTTATTTAAATTTAAGCAATAAAATACAAATCAAGCTTAAGTTTTCAGTTAAATAATGGTGTGTGTGTATATATATAAGTTCAAATCTTGGAAAACAGACAGTATTTTGATGTTTCTTTTTTAAACTTAGAGCAGAAAGAAAGAAAAATTGCACATTGTTTGGAGATCATATTTTGGATTAAACTATTCTGGTTTATGATGATGAAATTAGTGAACATGAAATTCAAAAATCTGACTTTCATCTTAATGCTAGGAAAGGTGAATCCTCTGTTAATCCTTGTTTTGCACTTTGAAATCAATCTTAGTAACTCATTGAAAATGTAGAGAGTCAAGATGTAATGCTGCATTTTATAAAGTAAAAACAACATATTGTCTAAATTATGAAAAGAATAAACTGATAGCAGTGTTCACAATAAAACTGAAGACTATTGCATTATAGAAACCGTTGTACAGCGCAGGCTTTTCGGTCAAATCTTAGCTCCTTTGAATTTCAGCGCTACCTTCCCATGAACTTCAGTGGAGCCAGGACTTCACCACAGTCTTCAAAGAAACTTGGGCAAATACCAATTAACCTTTTATTTATATTTAAAAATAACTAAATATACCGGTTGGATTAAATATACTATCAGCTGTAGTCATTTTACAGTACGTTTGTATTTGACCATTTCCTCTACTCATGTTTTTTTATATCTGTACAGTGCCACTTTCTGCAGGTGTAAGGTAGTGTGTAATACTGTACATCTTGCATTGTTCAAACTATTTCAGTGAAACAGATATCATTTAATATTGATATTACTTGAACTAGAGTAAGATAATGAAAAAAGGGTCTTTATGATGTGCGAGTCTTGTGCCTTTTATGTATTTGCCTTGTTCCGTGTTGAATGTGTGGAAATGCTGTATCGTGGACTTTCTGCTGTATAGAATAGAGCTGTCTATATTAAACTAGGTTGTGCACTTCAGATATCTTTACACTACTGAAAATAGCTTGGTTTTGGCAGTATAAGCAGAATTTTAAAAATTCTAACGAAGGCCAGACATTTTAGATTTAACATGTTCATAATTATGTTAATTAATGCTCATGTATTAGCTAAACATTCACTGAAAGATAACTAAAGGGACATCATTGCTTGCCTTTCTTTGAAATCAGTGTTGCTCTTGTACATTGTATTAATAGTGTCTGTGATTGATTAGTCCTTGATGATTTGCTTTCGAAGTAGGATGAAATATTTCAGTTAACATGTACATATTTTTTGGTTCCTCAATCTACGATTGTTTCAGAGGCATAATTCACATTTTTGTAAAAATTCTATGCAATTTTGTGGCATGATGTTTCTTCCACTTGTAATTTTATGTGCTTACATTACAGATCCAAAGGACAAATAAAAATTTCTTAACACAAGACAGTTGTTTTCTCGGTTCATTGACTGAAAAGCCTCAGTTGACTCCGGAGATCTCACAGACCTCGAAGGCCTTACCCTGACCCCTTTGCTCCCAGGAAGGGCAGTGCCAGGAGGAGTCCGTGAAGTTTCTCTGCGGGCTCTTGTGTTCACAACAACGAGAACAAGAAATTGCACGTGCCTAGGCATCCCCCGCCCCTCCCAGCAAAACGTGTATTTGCTGGTGCTCTGCAACAAGGGAAAACGAAAAAGTGCATGACAGCCAATGAACTGGTGAGAAAATTTATTGCTTTACAGGACAGGCTTTTGTAGAACAGCAATCGCATGATTTGCAGCCATACCTGTAAGCTGCCTCGACAAATTATAGCAGCCTTACTTCTCTTCCACTGCCCCAGCTGTTTCGCTAATCATCTATGCAATTATATATGCGCTGTGAAATGTACCTTTGCAGGGGCCTTCCACTGAGAGCACTGAAAAATAAATCTGTTCCTTTGGCTTTTGACTTTCCTTTCCCTGTTTAATTTACAATGTAAAAAATTATCTCTGGGAGAAGAGATAAGCAGGTATATTAATCCAGTGTACTAAGGGATATAACTATTAAAATAAATAGTCTCCAAGGCAGCTGGAGTCAAACTGCTCACTAGGAGAGGTGTGGGGAAATGGGGTCTGAGGAGGGGGATAGACACGGCATGGTGTAAAAGCAGGCGAAGAAGGGAGGAACAGAGCCAAAAGCTGAGCCCGTCAATTTGACAGAGAGGAGTAAGACTAAGACAGAAATGAGGGGGGGGGGGGGGGGGGAAAAAAAAAAAAAAGTTCAGTTGCCTCTCCTGGTCAACGTTTAGAACAAATACCTAACGGCTTAAATACACCTAAGCAATTGTACGCCACAGCTAG